TTTTAATGTTTATTCATCTTTGAGACAGAGAGAGACAGAGCATGAACGGGGAGGGTCAGAGAGAGAGGGAGACACAGAATCCAAAGCAGACTCCAGGCTCCGAGCCGTCAGCCCAGAGCCTGATGCGGGGCTCAAACTCACGGACCGCGAGATCGTGACCTGAGCCGAAGTCGGACGCTCAACCGACTGAGCCACCCAGGCGCCCCAGCTATGGTCTTTTATAAATAGTCTTTGTTAGATTCAAGTAGTGTCCTTCTATTCCCATTTTACTTTGAGTTTTTAGTATATTAATTAGAACAATACTTGACAGAGAGCAGGTGCTCGATGACTACTTGTTAAACAAATAAAGGTATATTAATGCTGAAGGTTTTTAATGCCCTTTTCAGTGACTATTGACATGATCATACAGTTCTCCTCTTGACCTTATGGATCGTGTGAATATATTTCCTGGTACTGAAACACCATGGGAAAACTTTGCTTGGTCATATATATTATGTCTTTAGTGCATTTCTGGTTCTACCTGTTAACATTTTATTTAGAAAACTTGCAATGAAGTCGTAAATTTATCTATTTGTTCTTTTGTGCTTAAAAAAACCATGTTTTAGCATTGAAGTTTTTTGTGTCATTAAATGAATCAAGGAACATACATCTTTTTTCTTAGTCTAGAACACTCCTTTGTTGAGAACTGCCCCTTACTCACGTGAGAGCCCAGAAACTAGGTCTACTAGGACACTGCCTGCCCACCTGGTCACAGCTCCCTGATCAAATGATCTTGCCAAGATCTAGAATTTTGAATTGGGCAACAGACACTGGGAGTTGCTATACCTGAACCATATTAAGCGGGGTGGCTCAGAGGCATCCCTCTGGGCACTTTACTTTGCGATGGTCAGAGACACACTGGTTCCTAAACTTCCACAGACTGGGCTAATCACTCCTTCCTTGGACTCCCAAAGACACTCAAGAATCCTTCCAATAGTTATCGCCATCACCACCACCATCACCACCGCCACCATCTCTTTAACTTAGAAAGCAATTCTGGTGACCTTGTTGCTTGCAAATAAAAGAGACTTAATCACAAAACTGTGTATAGAGTCGCTTTTCTTTGAATATTTCAATAGTTTTGCTTCTGCTTTAAGCCAAAGCTTAACTTTTCCAAAATTACATACTGTGTAACACGTGCAAGAGAAACCTCATTTGATTTGTTCCTGTTATGGAAGAGTGTTTGGCGTCCCAGCCAAATTCAAATTTATGTTAAAGCCCCAAAGTGACTATAATTAGAGATAGGGCCTTTATGGAAGTATTTACGGTTGAGTGAGGTCATAAGGGTAGGGTCAGTGCCTCTATTAGAAAAAAATGCCAACGAGCTCCTTTTCTCTTCCCATACACACAAGAGAAGAGGTCACGTGAGCACACACTGAGATGGCACCCATCTTCAAACCAAGAGAAGAGGCCTCAGATCGCAACCTACCTTGCCAGTACCTTGACCTTGGACTTCCCAGCCTCCAACGCTGCAAAAGAACAAATTTCTGCTGTTTAAGCCATCCAGTCTATAGTATTTTGTTCAAGCAGCTCAAGCAGACTAATACAGTTCCCGCAGATAACAAACTAGGGACCTAATGCCACTTTTTGAATAATCCATCATTACCCCACTATTCTGAAATGTCACTCTTATAACATATTAAATTTAAATAAATTGTCAGGTCTGTTTCTGGGCTTCCAAATTTAGTTCACTAAACTATGAGTATATTTTTGGCAACTAGTCTTATCTTACTTTGATAATTGTCCCTTTCTTGTATCATATTGGTAGGGCAATTTATACCAATTATATTGGTAGGGCAAGTCTGACTTTATTATTGTTGCACAATTTTACTGGCCATTCGAGAATACCTACCATTCCAAGTAAGCTTTAGAATCATTTAATTTCGTAAAAAGAAAAGTTGAGCTTTAGTGTGGGAACATTCAAGTGGAGGGAAGGTGACATATCTAAAATGCTCTGTTTCAAACCCTGAATATGGTGCTTGTTACTATTCTCTCTATTTGAGTCAGTAACTTTTGTAGTTTGTTGTTGTTGTTGTTGTTTTATTATTTTTTTTTTTTTAATTTTTTTTTCAACGTTTATTTATTTTTGGGACAGAGAGAGACAGAGCACGAACGGGGGAGGGGCAGAGAGAGAGGGAGACACAGAATCGGAAACAGGCTCCAGGCTCTGAGCCATCAGCCCAGACCCTGACGCGGGGCTCGAACTCACGGACTGCGAGATCGTGACCTGGCTGAAGTCGGACGCTTAACCGACTGCGCCACCCAGGCGCCCCTGTTGTTTTATTTTAAAGAGAGTGGAAGTGGGGGAGAGGGACAGTGGGAGAGAGGGAGGAAAGGAGAGAGGCAGAGAGAATCTTAAGCAGAGCATGGAGCCTGATGTGAGGCTTGATCCCACAACCGTGTGATCATGACCTGAACAGAAATAAAGAGTCAGACACTCAACAGACTAAGCCACCCAGGCACCCCTGTAGTTTTATTTATAATGTCCCACGTAATTTTTGTTTAGCTATATTTTCCCATTTTATTATGAAAATATTCAAACATACAGAAAAGTCGAATAATTTTACAGTGTACATCCATGCATCACCACGTAGACTCTACCGTTAACATTTTACTCTATTTTACTGTGGGGTTTTTTTTGGGGGGGGTAGCAAATGAGAGCATAGACTGCCTGGGTTCACCACCTGCAAAGTGAATAATGCAAGGCAAGTTGATTAACTTCTCCAAATGTGCTTTCTTATCTGCAAACTGGGAACTGCCACAATCAGTTAAAACATGTAATGCACTGAGAACAAAGACTCATACTCTGTAAATACTGTATGTCAAGTACACTAATCTATGGGGGCTACTATAACTAAACATCATAGACTGCGTGGCTTAACCAACAGAAATTTATTTTCTCATTTATTTCTCATTTATTTTCTTCTAGCCTATGTGAGGCTAGAAGTTCCAGATCAAGGTCTGGCAGGGTCAGTTTACGGTGAGAACTCTTTCTGGCAGGTAGATGACACCTTCTTGCTAAATCCGCACATGACCTTTCTTCAGGGCCTGAGCTTCAGAGAGTGAGTGAGCCCTCCGGTGTCTCTTCTTATAAGGACACTAATCCTATGGGACTGGGGCCCCACCCTTATGGCTTCATTTAATCATAATTACTTCCTTACTCCACATAAAGCTCTACAGGAGGGGGTTAGGGCTTCATAGGAAATTGCCGAGAGTTGTGGGGAGACACAACTATTCAGTCCACAACAGCAAGTACATAGTTTCATTTTATTTTCTAAATTGTTGTTTTTGTAAGCTATTGATATAGAAGTGTACTCCTATGTTTTTGAGGAGAGCAAACCCACGAATAAAAGAGCATGACAGTTAATCATTTTTTGCAGAAAATGCATAAAAATGCATTAAAAAAAAAAAACCAGATGGGATGTGTCTGGGGGTGTGTGTAGGTAAGTCTGTGCACCAAATGTTAACAATGGTTCTCTCTGCTTGATGGGATTCTAAGAAGTAATTATTTTGCTTTTGTGTATTTATTTTCTGGCATTTCAGAAATGCAAGGAAAGCAACCACCGTAATAATGTATTGGATTTATTGATCGTGGTATTCTTTTAATAAAACAAGATTCCATTCCACTTTCAGCCTTTTCCATGTACATGTGAAGGGAAAGCGGTATGGATTCGTTTATACCAATGTTGTTGGGACAAAAAAGTGACACAGATGCTTCCCTTTTGCCAAGGGTTTCCAAACCTCCCAATGGAAACATTCACGTGCCTCTTCCCGGCAGAGGGGAGACGGCTGATGCGGTAGTTTGGGGTGGGGGTTGGGGACAAGAGCACCAGCTCCGGCTCCCGCCGCAGAAGCGGGGCTGCTTTCTCCGCGGTTGGGACCCCGGGCTGCAGGGAACCCACAGTGACGGGGCCGCCGGGCGAGCATCTCGGGAGGCGCCGCGAGCGGGAGGCTGCCCTGGAGGACGCTGGGAACCACGCGCGGAGGCCGCTGCCGCGCAGGCGCACCGGCCAGGGCTGCGCTACGCGGAGGCATCTCGGCGCTACGCGGGGAGCCGCCGGCCGGGCGAGAGGCCAGGGGCGAGCCGGGCGAGGCGGGCGAGCCAGCGAGCGGGGTGAGCGGGCGCGGTGCGGGGTCTGGGGCGGGGACCTCGGGAGGCGCCGGCGAGACACCGCCCGAGGTTCCCCGTGGCGCGTGATGTGCCCAGGAGCCTGGGGTCGCGCTCGGACAAAGGCAGCGAGGTCCGGGCCTGGAGAAAGGTTTAGCCTCTCCGTTCTGGGAGGAAGGGACGGGGTTGGAGGGCATCCGTAATTTGCCACAGCCAAGGGAAGGAACCGGTGGGATTCAAACCCAGCTCCTTTGTGATTCCAAATCTCAAGGCTAATTTAACCATAGTAAATTGGGTTTTATTCGTCTCTTTGTGCTTCGTGACACCAGCACAGTGGCTTGGACCGCGTGGGCTGTGTATATCCACCGTCTCCATGTACCTTTTGTAAAAATTTTTTGATGATTGGTGTTAAGTTCTAGAATTCTGACCGTGCGACTGAGCACTGTAGATCCTTTTGCTGACTCTAATGTTTTCTTTTTTTCTTTTCTTTTCTTTTTTTTCTTTATTATTATTATTATTTTTTTTTTTTTTTTACTCTAATGTTTTCTATCCAGCATCATCAGGGGACCGTAGCGGTGGTTGCATAGAAAACACCTGGAGCCAAACAGCTGCCTGCTGAGGAGACAGATGGAGCTCAAGATGGGATGTTCCTTGTGAACTTGGACATGAAAAGGTCCAGATTCTGGATTTTGGTACTGTATGTTCCCCCTGGTTCCTGAGAGTAGAGGACTCCAGCACAACTGTGAAGCCCGAGTTTCCAGCAGTGTCTTTATCAAAAGTGGACAGGTCCAGATAGGACCTTCTGCCTCGTGGGCTGAGGCAGAGAGCCCTAGAAAGGAGTGCTGAAGTCATCATGCTACAGCAGCTCCTGATCACCCTGCCCATGGAGGCCAGCACCTGGGTGAAGTTGCGCCATCCAAAGAAGGCCACCGAGGGGACATCCCTGTGGGAGGACGTGACTAAGATGTTTGAAGGAGAAGGTGAGAATAGACTGGCGGGAAGGAGGAAAAGCAGCAGCACCTAGTTTGAGAAGGAAGGTAGACACCTGAGCTAAAGCATCCCTTGGGTAGGCAATTGGGGAAAAGATTTCTGGGGTTCTTGATTATGGCTCCAGGCCTGCGTTTTCAGTAATGGTCAATTCAACCTGAAACCAGGATCTAAGTGTCATGACTGTGTATGTTACCTCTTTTCATTTCCCCCATGGGCGTGTGGGGCAGGGAAGACTTGCCTGATTTTCTGTATTTTACAGTGAGGAAATTTGAATCAACTGAGAGACCAGTCTAGGCACTTGGTGGCTAGGCCAGAAGTAAAAGGCAGCAGGGAAAGTACCAGGTGAGCCTGGAGTGTCTTGCGCTAGAAAGGATCTGGGAACTGGCAGAGGCTTGGTAGTTTAAGAGCTGCTTCCTAGATGGCGCAATTGGTCACTATCTCATGACTTCAAAGTCCTGGAATCTCGGTCCGGCTGGGTTCAGGAGTCTCAGTTGCGGCTCTGGGCTGATGCTCAGAGCCTGAGCCTGCTTTCCGATTCTGGCCTTCCCTCTCTGCCCTCCCCTCGCTCATGCTCTGTCTCTCTGTCCCAAAATAAATAAACGTTGAAAAAAAAAAATTTAAATAAAAAAAAAAAAAAAGAAAGCAAGGACAAGTGCAAAGGTGCGTGTCAGCAGGATGGCAAGTTTGGACAAACTTAGGACTGTTTAAATATCCAGATTGATTGTAACACTTTGAATAAATAAAATTCCGTAAGTTCATGATGGCACTTAAAATAGAGAAAGGGGAAAAACTTATTTGCCGACACTGGTGGTGATTCCTACACTGATTCCTTACCTTGAAAATAAATTATTATGGGAGTGAAGAATACATTCATCTTGCTTTTTAAAAGATCATTTCCGTTTGTTGAGGGAAAGCTTTTTACAGAAAATATCTGCCGATAAAGAAGTGGAAGGAACGATAGACTATATTACTATAAGTGAAGTAATTGAAAAGTTGATGGGGAACAGGGTATTCACAGGGTGCCAAAGCATTGCCCCCACAAATTGCTAAAAGCCAAGGAAAGAGCACATTTTTCCGATGGCGATACGTGGTGGTCACTGTTTTAAGTGTGACAATGATGGGGTAACCTCACATTTTGTACCTTCTGGGTAATGTATTATAAAGCACATGGTATCACCCATGAGGAATTCCTGCCAAAATGTTTCATCTGATCCTAAATTGAGCTTAAAGGCTGAACTTCTGGTTTAAAGAAAATCCGGGGAATAGAGAAATAAGGTAAACCCTAGCACACTCAGACTGTGTTGGTCTCATAAGAAGCCAGTGCCATGAAAAAAGGGGAAGTGTGGTGCCTGGGTGGTTCAGTTGGTCGATCATCTGACTTCGGCTCAGGTAATGATCTCACGGTTCACGGGTTTGAGCCCCACGTCCGGCTTGTGCTGACAACTCGAAGCCTGGAGCCTGCTTCAGATTCTGTGTCTCCTTCTCTCTGCCCCTCTCCTGCTCATGTTCTTTCTCTCTCTCAAAAATAAATAAAAATTTAAAAAGGCAGGGGAGTACTATTCTAGAGAGACTAAAGATAACCGCTTTGAATGTGTGAACATTGGTTGGCTCCTGGGTTGAGAAGAAATCCAGAATAAAAGACAGTTTGAGAAGATCTGAGGAAATCTGGGTATGGAATTATTGTTTTCAAGTGTTTATTTATTTTTGAGAGATTGCGTGCATGTGCAGGGGAGGGGCAGACAGAGAAAGAGAGAGAGAGAATCTCAAGCAGGCTGTGCACTGTCAGCACAGAGCGTGATGTAGGGCTCAGACTCACGAACTGGGATATCATGACCCAAGCCAAAATCAAGAGTCTGACATTTAACCAACTGTGAGCCACCCAGGTTCCCATGAATACAGAATTATTGTTAATTTGCTTAGGTGTGATAAATGGTATTGTGGTTATGCAGGAGAAGATCCTTATTTGAGGTATTTAGGGACAAAGTACCATGATGTCTGCAACTTTGAAGTGGTTCAGAAAAAAATATAGATGAAGCAAATAAGGCAAATGTTAACAATCACTGAATACAGGTGGTGGATATATGCATGTTCGATATTCATGATGAAAAGTTGGGGAAAAATACAAGGACGACAATTCATGTACCTCAGTTCCTAGTTCATATTTTTAATACCTCAAATTCAGCCAGGTTTTAATACTTCAAATTCAGGTTGGAATTCTAGGAACCTGGCAGAGTGTTACGCTTAACACTTTAGGAGATGGGAAAAAATGAGCCAGACGGAAATAAAAAAACTTTCTACCCATATACTCATACTAATATTCAATTGAGGGAGATAATTATACAAATAAATATGATAGGCAGTCTGAGATAGATAACAGAATAGAGAGACAAACAAGCTTTGGAAGAATACAGAGAAGAGGAAGCTTTCTTCTCATTAAGAGTGTTTGAGAAAACTTCACTTGAACTGATCCAGAAGGATATGTCAGGTTTTCACCGAGTAGGACTTGGGAAAATACTGAGGTGGGTACTATGCAGGTATGTTCAAAGAATGGTGACTGGGATTATGTGGGTGGGTGTGTCCAGTGGTTGAAGGAGGATGTTTAGAAGGAGATCATGGATAAAGAAGGAGAGAAGCCCTGACGGACTGGTTGTGGAGGATCTTGAAATCCACGGTAAAGTGTTCGGATTTTTCTTTCTTGTCAGTGGGGAAGCTTTGAGGATTTTTGAACAGAGGCGTGGCCGGTAGATCTGTGCTAACGGACCAGCGTTGCCCATTGGGAAGTATTAATGCCCAAAGCAGTGCACCTTAGATCCTTTTCATTAAGGAGTCTCCGGTCTGCTCTGAATTGCTCTAATGTCCCTCTCTGTGAATGTTTTGAGAGAGGAGCCATGTTCAGGAGGTCTGGTCTGCAAGCCATTTTTCGAGGTCTGGGAGATGCAAACCTCATGCCTCTTTTCCTTCCTCAGTTTTGCTCTCTAAGGATGCTGATGAGACCCAGGGAGAAAGTTTCGAAGATGAAGTGACCTCTAGGCCACTGACATTAGAATCCCAGGTGGGTTGGAGTTTCCTGTCACTTTCTTAAAATTGTTTGAGCCCTGGACTTTGATTTTCTTTGACTCAGCTTGCTGGATTGGGTTTTCTTAGCCTGTTCTAAATCAGGCCACACTGATTGATTTCACAGGTGATTGTCCCACCGGTAGCAACCTTCCTCGGGAACCTTCTTATTTCAAGCAAACCTCTGGCCATTTATCCAACACATTTAAAACTTGTGCTGGCATGTGTCTGTGTGTGTGTAAAAGTATGTAATATAGTTCTTGCCCTGAAACCTCACAGATGTCATCTGGGGGAAAGACAAACATTGTAAAACATTTTAAGCAACATTTAAAAATTAATAGAATGCAGTTCTGATATTCTTGGAGATGTATACACTTCACTAATGAGCTTTAAAAGATGATTTCTGGTCATATTTTAGAGCAGAATTGTAGATGAAAAGGGAAATGAGAAGTTGCTGGCAGGTCACAAAGGGCACAAACTAAATAGGCTGACTGGAAAAGGAAGGAAAACTTCCAAGAGCAGTTTAATAGTTTCTGTGTATCGTAAACGAGCTAATCAGAAAACCAGCAGCACTGGCAATGGGCAGAGCCCAGAAGCATAGGGAAACTCAAGAAAATTCTACAGTAATCAGAGAAAATCAATATAGAAGGAGATCTTCCTAGAAACCAGAAGAGTTTTGTAGTGGCATGCTCTTAGCTTCCAAGATAACATGGCACAGGGTTTAATCCCCTATCCTTAACATTCCTCAAATTCAGTTTTCTCATGTGGATGCTGTTGTCAGCCCAATAGGCCTCAAGTGCCTTCCAGAATTATTTACAATATATAAAAAGCATTAGAGGGACGCCTGGGTGGCTCAGTCGGTTAAGCATCCGACTTCGGCTCAGGTCATGATCTCCCCGTTCACGGGTTCGAGCCCCACGTCTGGCTCTGTGCTGACAACTCGGAGCCTGGAGCCTGCTTCAGATTCTATGTCTCCCTCTCTCTGTGCCCCTCCCCCGCTCATACTCTGTCTCTGTCTCTCAAAAATGAATAAACATTAAAAAAAAAAAAAAAAGCATTAGAATTGTCTCCATACATAAGGAATGAGTTTTTATCTCAGCCTTCTGGCTTCTGGGTGCTCTTTGCATTTGGTAATATTTTTTAAAATAATTACAAAATGGTTATTTAATTTTGTAGATCATACATGACAGGCTCTTGTACTTCACCACACAGTGTCTGCTTTGGTCAAGGGATCTTCCTTTAGTAGGCAGAATTCATGCTCTCTCCAGAAACCTGTTCTCACATACTTTTCTTACTAACTGAAGTACTCAGTTAAGGGTATATTACCCATGCTGAAATGTTCTCGTTTTAACAAATTCTTTCAGCCCAACAAAGGTCCCTGGCTTCTCTTGTGGCCTTGGCCTCTTTTGAACTCTCACCTTCCTCAAATATTCCTGATCTTTATTGTCCTCAATCTAAATTATTATACACTGTTCTGAGACCTTCTTTAATATTTCATGAGTATTTCTCCTTTAGCCAAATTGTAAGTTATAAAAGACAGCTTACACGCTTTGTGCGTTGTGTTGTAACGTGTAGCAGAGAATCAGCCAACCAGTTTTCAAGAGTATCCAGGAAAATTCGGATAGAATCTCTTAGCATGTAGACAGTGTTAGAACAACCTCCCGAACTCTGGCTGAAAAGGAACATACTTGATGTTCTAGGAACTGTTGACCTTCAAGGACATATCTGTGGACTTCACCCAGGAGGAGTGGGGACAACTGGCCCCTGCTCACCGGAGTCTATACCGGGAGGTGATGCTGGAGAACTATGGGAACCTGGTCTCAGTGGGTAAGGATGAGTTCAGTTCCCCTTATAACTAGAACCTGCCTGTTGGAACAAAATCTTTTATTTCTAACCAAAGTGTTAGCTTGGGCTCTGGGTTGTGTTGGAGTTTTCTAATTCCTTCTCAATAGCAAGTCAGGATTGCTGTGGTCTTTTCTGCCCTGGTCTTTCTACTCTACCCCTCAGCAGGCCTGAATACCAAAAAACTATCTTTAAATTCTTGGGATGACCTCAGCACATGCAGTGTTTTCTTCTTCATGAGCAGGATATCAGCTCTCCAAACCTGGTGTGATTTCCCAGTTGGAGAAAGGAGAAGAGCCATGGCTGATCGAGAGAGAGGTTTCAGGAGGTCCACGTTCAGGTAAGAGCAAGGCAGTTGGGGTCTTTTGTCATGTTTGCTAGAAAGCTCCACTTGAAGCCTTCTCCAGATTGTGGGGAAGGCTATGCCATCTGGATGGGACCTGACCTGAAACCTGATTACCACCCTGTTACCCCTTTCCTGAACTTGCCTTTTCTTGTTAGTTTCTCTGGAGTCAGAGGAAAAGAGATGCCTTTCTTATCAGGGTTAGTTGCCTTAACTAATTCTCCTGACCCAGTTGCATGATTTTCTTGTTTTCTCCAGCATTTCAAACCTTGCCCTGATGATAGCTTCTTTCTCCTGTACATTCAGGTATTCGTGGATCTCCCCTCATTAAGTACAGCACTCTTCACCGGATTCCTATGTAATTTTATTATGGATTTTACTCTTACATGATTCTGGTTAAAATTTTTTCCTAAATCTTATTCTGTGATCATAGCTTCAATTCTGATTCTCTTTTTAACTTGTGTAATTTAGATTTTTATTTCAGATAACTTATGCCTCTGTGAAAAATCACCACAGAATTCCTTCTGACCAAATCAGATAGCTTTTAACAACCTTCTTCATCTAAGAACAGTAATAATGACAGCTTTTCATCAGGCTGGCCTCTGTGAGTCCTGTGCATACATTAGCCCCATCTTACAGAGGAGGAAAAGAAGGCTCATAGGTTAAGAAATTTGTCCAGCATCACTTAGCTACTGGTTGGTGGAGTCAGTATTTGAATTCCAATCCTTCTGACTCCATATTTGGTGTTCTTATGGCACGATTCTACATGGCAGCATTAGGTTTCTAGACCTTGCTGCCTTTCCTCCACAGTTTTTATCTCCTACATATCTCTTACTGCTTTTTCAATGCTTCTCATCAATATCCTTTTTTTTTTTTTTGATGTTTATTTTTGAGAGAGAGAGAGACAGAGTACAAGCAGGGGAGGGGCAGAGAGAGAGGGAGACACAGAATCCGAAGCAGGATCTAGGCTCCGAGCTGTCAGCACAGAGCCTGATGTGGGGTTTGAACCCACAAACCATGAGATCATGACCTGAGCTGAAGTCGGATGCTTAACCGACTGAGCCACCCAGCTGCCCTCATCAATATCTTTTCTAATGCAGATACATCGTTTCCACTTCTGTTAGGACAGGCTACACTACTATAGCAAATAGACTCTAAAATGTGGCTCAAACAGAATATCTTGCTTGTACGCTGGTCTGGGGGAACTGTTTAGTTCAATGGACAGTTCTTTTCCACCTCACGCATCTGGGATTGAGATTTCTTCTACATGGTGGCTCTGTCATTCGCTAGGGCCTCCTCATCATCTAAGTATAGCCAGCAGCAGAACGAGGGCACACAAGGAGCTCATCTGGGATGGTTTTCTTTAAAAAAAATTTAATGTTTATTTATTTTTGAAGGAGAGAGAGACAGAGCATGAATGGGGCACAAGCAGAGCGAGAGGGAGACAGAATCCGAAGCAGGCTCCAGGCTCTGAGCTGTCAGCACAGAGCCTGACCTGGGGCTCGAACACGCGAGCTGTGAGATCATGGCCTGAGCCGAAGTCAGAGGCTTAACCGACTGAAACACTCAGGCATCTCACATCTAGGAGGTTTTTACAGGGCAGCCTGGAGTGGTTCACATGACTCACTCCGATTCACTTACGGGAGAAACCTTTGTCACTTCACTCAAATCCAAATCAAGGAAGCTGTAGGTGTGTGTCCAAAAATGGGAAGAACAGATTTGGTGCATATCCGGCAATTCCTGCTGCAATCCCTGAGGGGTCTCTGTCTTGTACGCTGCTATTCCGTAGCTGCACAAATGTCCACAAATGCGTTGTGATGGTTTCAGTTGTCCCTTGAGACCTGTATTCTCCATATTTTCATCGATTCCCACATATCCCTGGTATTTAGGACATCTCTATCTAGATGCACTGTCGTCACTTCAAGCCCAATACATCCAAAAACAGAAACCATTTTCTCTCCCAAATTTCTCATCCTGACTCCTCCTATTCTTTCATTCTCAAAGACCAGAAATCATGATATCAGCAAGAATGCATTATGTTTTTCTACTCTCAGTTCTTCCCTCATTCCTCATGGCTTCTTCTCTGATAGTACCTGCTAGATCCACTTCTCCTCTTCATATGTGCTGATGCAGTGCTAAGCCAAGTTCGCATCATCTCATGCCTGTTACTCTGATTTTTAGTCGTATTTGTTGATATTTTCTTATTTTTCTGAATCATTTTGAATGTTACTATCAGAGTTGACCTCTTGAAATATGACATTTATTTTGTCCTTACCCTGAAAAGAAAAGTTAAGTAACTCCTTATCCCCTGTAATAAGTGATGTCAACATCTCTGCTGGCCTTCTAAGTCCACTCCAAAATTTACCCAGCTATTCCTGAGCACTTTGTATGTGCTGTTACTAAGGTGAGATTAGAAATCCTGGGGAATAAGAGTTTGTTGTAGACAGGAAATATTGGTGCTTTAGGATGGCAGGGTCCAAATGGATGGAAGGGAACAGAAAGAGAATTTCCTTCACGCAAAACTGTCCCATGTATCCCATGTATAGTCCATATAGTCTCTGTCCTTTAAGATTTTACAGTATAGCTAATAATGTGTTACAAATAAGGAGCCCATTTTTCACCTTTTATATACAGATACAGGCAAAAATTATGAAGATTGATAAAAATCCAGTGAACTTGTAGGGAAGGGCACCCATGTTTACCGAGAGCACACATACCCAGAACCCAATAATTCCTCTTTAGTAAAGCCTATGAAATATTGACAGGAGTGTACGCAAATGTATGCATGATGATAACATGAGAAACTGGAGACAACCTAAATATTTTTCAGTAGAGAAGAGTCAAGTTATGATATGTCCATCAATGGAATATCAATATCAATGCAGTGGTATGTATTGCACTTGTTAAAAAGAATAAGATAGGGGTTCGTGGGTGGCTCAGTTGGTTAAGTGTCTGACTCTTGATTTCGGCTCAGGTCATGATCTCATGGTTCATGACATTGAGCCCCATGTCAGGCTGTGCGCTGACAGCACGGAGCCTGCTTGGGATTCTCTCTCTCTCCCTCTCTCTCTACCGCTCCCCCTGCTCACACTCACTCTTTCTCTCAACATAAATAAACTTTTTTTTTTTTTTAAATAATGAGATGAATCTAAATGTACAGACATGGGAGGGAGCCTACTAGATAAAGTTGAGTTAAAATACAAAACAGATGCACCTAGGTGGCTCAGTTGGTTAAGCGTCTGACTCTTGGTTTTGGCTCAGGTCATTATCTGATGGTTCATGGTTTTGGGACACATGTTGGGCTCTGCATTGACAGCACAGAGCCTGCTTGCGATTCTCTTCTGTCTTTCTCTCTGCCCCTCCTTGGCTCTCTCTCTCTTAAAATAAAGAAACTTAAAAAATACTTTAAAAAAAACAGATGCAGAAAAAAAAAACAGATGCAGAGCGATATGTATACTATGATCCCTTTTTTGTGCAAATGTATATTTATGACCATACATAAATACACACATTCACATATACATATTGTTGGGAATGTCTGAATGGATGCTTTCCAAAATCCTAAGAGAGTAGAGGGAATGGGGATGAAATTGAGAGAGGCTATCCCTCTTTAGTGAATGAGTTCCTATATTATTTAACGTTTTAATATGTAGAAAGTATGGATTAATACTTGAAAAAAAACTTTTTTTAATAGGGACAATTTTGTCATAGAAATACGGGCTTGAGATGATATGGTGCTAGAATACTGTGTTCCTTAATCTTATCTCTTGATATTTGCCCTTACAACAATGCTCTCTTCTTAGTGCACTTCCTCGAATTCACATGGATGAACTCCTCCCAGTTCCTTAAAGTCCCCTCACATGCCCTAACAGCTTCTTTCCTTTGATTTCTTCATTTCCTTTTATATTAGCTCTCTAGGGGGCAGAATTACATTTGAAGATAGTCCAAGGTTTCTATGCCTAGTACATGTTCATTTCCCCCCCTCCTATTCTCACTATGGCCATTTATTTTTTAAAGTACACTGAATATGCGTCATTTGTATTTTGGGATTTCTTCCAGACTTGGAGAGTAAAGCAGAAACCAAGGAGTCAGCCGTAAAGAATGATACTTCTTGGGAAGAATTGCACCATGGCCTAATGAAGGAACAGTCCACAAGAGGAAGCACCTTATATTCCACATTGGGAAGAATCTCCAAATGTGATCAGTTAGAAAGCCACCAGGAAAACCAAGGAATGGGTGAGGGGCAAATCCCCTTGATGCACAAAGTACTCACTCAGGAAAGAGGCCGAGAATCTAATAGATTTGAGAAAAGTATTAATGTGAGCTCAAAAGTTATTCCAGGACCAGAAATTTCTCCGAGAAAAAAAGACCATAAATATGATGTATCTAGAAAGCGAAGTAGATACAATTTAGATTTGATTAATCATTCAAGGAGTTATACCAGATTGAAAACCTTTGAATGTAATATTTGCGAAAAAATCTTCAAACAGCTCATTCACCTTACAGAACACATGAGAATTCATACTGGAGAGAAACCTTTCCGATGTAAAGAATGTGGAAAAGCTTTTAGCCAAAGTTCATCCCTTATTCCACATCAGAGAATCCATACTGGTGAGAAACCCTATGAATGTAAGGAATGTGGAAAAACCTTCAGACATCCATCATCTCTTACTCAACATGTTAGAATTCATACTGGGGAGAAGCCCTACGAATGTGGGGTATGTGAGAAAGCATTCAGCCAGAGCATTGGGCTGATCCAGCATCTGAGAACTCATGTTAGAGAGAAACCTTTTACATGCAAAGACTGTGGAAAAGCATTTTTCCAGATTAGACACCTTAGGCAACATGAGATTATTCATACTGGTGTGAAACCCTACATTTGTAATGTATGCAATAAAACCTTCAGCCATAGCACATACCTAACTCAACACCAGAGAACTCATACTGGGGAAAGACCATATAAATGTAAGGAATGTGGGAAAGCCTTTAGCCAGAGAATTCATCTTTCTATTCATCAGAGAGTCCACACGGGAGTGAAGCCTTATGAATGCAGTCATTGTGGGAAAGCCTTTAGGCATGATTCATCCTTTGCTAAACATCAGAGAATTCATACTGGAGAAAAACCTTATGATTGTAATGAATGTGGAAAAGCCTTCAGCTGTAGTTCATCACTTATTAGACATTGCAAAACACATTTAAGAAATACCTTCAGCAGTGATATGTGACATATGTGCAACATCAAAGACTCCTCCTAATGGAGCAAAAGCCTCTAAATCAGAGGCTTTTTGACTTTTTGGTTTCAAGAAGCAATGATTTTTTTTAATGACTTGATGCAGTGTTACCACTATCAGTTTTGCCATATTAAAGAAACTACCTGTCATCAACATCGTTTCAGAAAAGAAAGGGCATTTTAATATTTTAAAATATAGGAGGGATAATCAGTAGGAATAGCCCTTAACATTGAATTAAGTTAGCCTTATGAAAATCCCCCAAATTTGTCCTTATTTTTCTCATTTCATTATGGGCCAATGGAAGGTTCATCGTGGCAAGTTACTGATACTTGGATTGGCTTTTGAGAATCACTGTTTTAAATATCTCTTAAATAATCAGACTAAAATATAGTATAACTTTTTACTATAGCCCTTTATATGGCTAGAAGAGGCATAGATAAAAATAACTGCCTGGCTCATTTCTACAGAAATAATATTAAAGGAAGCTTTCCAGAATTGATAGATAACCTACTATTACAAGGGATACTTAAGTATATTTTATAGTTTCTTGTAGAGAATTGGCAAGCTTTCATAAAGAGCCAGATATTAAATATGTTAGACATTGTGGGCCATATGAGCTCTGCCAGAGCCACTCAACTCTACCATTTTAGTGTAAAAACATCTAAAGAAATACATAAATCAGAATATCTCAACCTTGGCTCTTCTGATATTTGGGGCCAGATACTTTGTTTTGGGAAGCTGTCCTATGCACTGTAGTGGGTTTAGCAGTATCTCTGGCCACAAAATGCCGGTAACTAGATGCCAATAGTCCCCCCACCCATTGTAACAACCAAAAACATCTCCCAATATTGCTAGAGGTGCCCTGGGGGTCAAGATTGTACTTGTAAAGTACTTGAGAACCATGGACATAAATGAATAGGTGTAGCTCTGTTCCAATAAACTTCATTTAAAAAACTGGTGTTGGGTTGCATTTAGCCCGAGAGCTGTAGTTTACTGTTCCCGCTATAGAGTACATAAATGACTGTTCCCCCCCCCCCCTTGCCCCTGAATAAGCACAGCAAGAATAGGGGTTGAGTAGTGTTATTTTTTTTTAATCTGATTCTGGAACTTTTGATATGTCCTTCTATAATGTCATATCAAAAGGTTAGAAATTTTATATAATCTCTCAAACAGTTCTAGCACTGAAACATATAATAGGACCTAAGGAAGTTTATCATCACTTATTTGACAATGCTTTCCCTATGATGTGACCTATCAAATAAGCCTAACTTGTCAAAAAGACTTCATTTAGAAGTTGAATTATGGGAAGTTTGAAATATCAGAAGGTTTAAAAAAAAAAAAAAAGAAATATCAGAAGGTTTTAAAGCATGTGTCTAAATAAGATTATAGATCATTTTAAAACTTAATAATTATAATAATTATCTATTTAGCCAAGGTGGCAATAAGATTCTAAAGGAAAATGCAGAGGATTACATAGTTGTTAAAATTTAGCTTAATGTTGAAAAAATTCAACTTTAAAAACAAAACAAATTTTTTTTCAGGCCGGTTAAAGATCTAGAATAATCTTTGTTTACAAAGATCTTTGTTTACAACATAGACCTAAGAAAACTGACATTTTAACAGAGAAAAACCAAATTCCAATCTTACACTGGTGTACTTCCGTATTAAGACTCCTTTATTTCAACAAGGTGAATTTTTAAGAATAAGTAAATCAGTCCTTCCTTTTTCCTCCCTAGCATCTCCCATGTTGATACATACATTTTGAGACAAGGACATCCAGGGTGCTGCATGGATCTGAGTTTTTGTGGTGGGTGCTGTGATGTGCTGACCAGAATCCCCATCAGGAATAAAGGACTCTCAGCTGTAGAGATCGTGGCCAACAGTCCTCAACTCTCACATGCCATGAGGGGTCACCTTAACTGAAGACAGCTGCCTTGCCAAGGCATACCCTCTTGCCAGGTTGTTGCAAACAATGACTTATAAAAGTCCAGCCCTTTCGCCCTAATTTAGAGTGATTCTGAAGGGTAATCCAACTTTTGGAACTCCTCAGAGAATCCATGGAGTCTTGTGTTGATATTGTATGATCATTCAACTTCTGCCTAATCTTGCTGTCTTACTCCCCCTTCTCCAGGCGTTGGTCACTCCCTAATAAACTTTTTTACACATTAATCTCCACAACCGTAGTCCTAACCGCACACAAAATTTCTTAACAAAGATTCCCTTCTCACAAACATACAGGCTTTCCTTTTTACATTCAGATTTTGGTCTGTTTTTCCTTTTTAAATAAACAGTCTTGCTTTCCTTGAATTACATCTGTTTGTTCTTAGATTACCCATAAAATTCATGAGGCATTAGAGTTCTAAGGGTTTTTCCCCCCTTTCCTGACAAATTTTGCAATGGAGATAACATGAACTTATTTGAATTTCAGTAAACATAGAATAAAAGTTTTACATTTAATGCTGAAATTCTAAAGACCTATCCATTTGATTAAACCAACAACCTTAAATTAATTCGCTTTAATACCTAATTAAAGATCTAATTAAGACCTAATTAAATACCTAATACAAGATCATGTGAACTTGTAAAACATTGGGTTAGTTTCTATCTTTGAGTTTTAGAATGCTCAATTCTTGGGGTGCCTGGATGGCTCAGTCAGTTGAACATCTGACTCTTGATTTTGGCTCAGGTCATGGTCCCAATGTCGTGGGATTGAGCCCCAAGTTGGTCTGTGCACTGGGCATGGAGCCTACTTGGAATTCTCTCTCTCTCTCTCTCTCTCTCTCTCTCTCTCTCTCTCTCTCCCTCTTTCTCTCCTTCACCCTCTGCTCCTCTCCCCCACCTGTGTGTGCTCTCCTGCTTAATGCCCAATTCTTACAAGCACTTACCTTTAAACCAACTAAATAGAGCTCTTTTACAAATTAATTTTAGCAATACCATTGGGAGGTACAGAAAACATCTCACATAACATTCATGGACACAGAAACAAGTACATGAACAAGATGCAAACAAAAGCTGAAAGGCCCAATTTCCAATTGTCTCCTTTTTACAAAACAAATTTAATGGCAAGATGGTATTATAATTTATGGATCCATTAATTGGTCATTTTTCTCTGTATTTGTGGCCAAGCAGCATTGCAAAAACTGATGGCTTGATTTTAGAGAACACAGCTACATGTGGGGATCAAATCGTCATTTCCCAGTTTCCACTTAGCACACAGCCAACTTTATCCAAAGATACCAAAAGATGCAACAATAAACAAATTGTGAGCATTGGTTCCTCCCCAAAAGTCAGAGCTTCACCGACTCAATCAAACAGCTTCCTCATCAGCCTTTTCTTAATCAACCAGGAAAGGGAGGCTAAGAGAACCCAAATCCCCTATTTGGACGCATCTAAATGGAGGAATAAATCTAAGAGCCAAGCCAAACGGGAAAACGAAAGCTCACAAGCCCTCCGTATGAAATATTCACCAAGAGACATCTGTCCAAACCAAACCCAGACCTGTTTCCTTGCCACGAGTTAAATTGAGCACTGAAAGCTGGCAGCTCAAGCCTAACCAGGGTGGACTGGAGCCTGGGGACAGTCCCCGGGACAAAGAGCCTAGGTACTGCTGGGACTCATCGCTGGATTCCTGTTACAGGCTGAGGGCTGATGAACCATGGGCAAAGAGCTCCTGGATGGCTCCCCAAGTTTGTAACCGAACCCAAGTTTATCCATGGGATGGGCGACAAAGACGATCAGATAATGGGGTATGCAGCAAGGAAAGGGTTTATTCGAGAGGCAGCAAAATAAGGAAATGGGAGGGCAAATCTTAAATCATCCTCTCCAAGGAGAGACAGGGAGGTTTAAAGGCAAACAAAAAGGGTAACAAGTTGCAGTTGAGTTTATTACCCTGCGGCTGCAATTAGTCCCCTTAACTCTTTGGTCACTGTTTTCACTAATTTTCTCAGAATAATGAAGATGTAATACTTACTCATGGGTGGTGTTTGGAGGTGGGAGGAGAGCACCAGCCTGGGCAATTCAGTACCTAATACTATAGAGCTAAAATAACGTTTCCCTGTCCTTCATTACAGGGATAACATAGAGGATTATTTTTGTTATTTTGAGTCCTCTTTGTGTGTGCTTTTCCCTAATTAGAATCATGGTTTAGCTGTCTTTTGAACTGCAATTGTTTTTCACTGAACATTAGGTTGTGCTCAGATCCGAAGCCTTCATAGCAGAGTGGTGAAGAGTTTGCATTCAGAAATCCTAAAAATATGTATTCAAATTCCAACTCTACCACCCCCTAACTTTGTGATCTTAGTCAAACTTATTTTTTCATCTGTCATTTAAAAAAATTTTTTCTTAATGTTTATTTACTTTTGAGAGAGACAGAGACAGAATGCGAGTGGGTTGGGGCAGAGAGAGAGGGAGGCACAGAATCCCAAGCAGGCTCCAAGCGGTCAGCACAGAGCCCAACGCGGGGCTCGAACTCATGAGCTATGAGATCATGACCTGAGCTGAAATCGGACGCTCAACCAGCTGAGCCACCCAGGCGCCCCTGTCAAGCGGCATTTTTAATAGGCACTACACAACACATTTATTATGCTAGGTAAACATAATCATTCAGAAACAAACCATTAATATTGCATTTTGTGTGTTTTCTCCTTGTTATAAAGTAAATGCTCATTTATGAAAACACAGAGATGTGTAAAGAAAATAAACATGACAGAACCTAGATATTACCAATGTTAAAATGTTGGTGGAAAAAGACAACGTTGTCTGGTTCCATTTATATAAAGTATCAAAAGTATGAAATTCAGAGAAACAGAAAGTAGACTAGTGGTTCCCAGGTTCTAGGTGGAGAGGGAAAAGGGGAGTTCTTGTTTAATGGGCATAGAGTTTCAGATTTGCAAGATGAAAAAGTTCTGGAAGTCTGTTTCGCAATATGAATATAGTTAAAACTATTGAACTGTAGGGGCGCCTGGGTGGCGCAGTCGGTTAAGCGTCCGACTTCAGCCAGGTCACGATCTCGCGGTCCGTGAGTTGGAGCCCCACATCAGGCTCTGGGCTGATGGCTCGGAGCCTGGAGCCTGTTTCCGATTCTGTGTCTCCCTCTCTCTCTGCCCCTCCCCCATTCATGCTCTGTCTCTCTCTGTCCCAAAAATAAATAAATAAACGTTGAAAAAAAATTAAAAAAAAAAAACTATTGAACTGTACACTTAAAGGAGGTTAGATGGTAAATTTTATGTTACGTTTGTTTTGTGTTTTGTGTTTTTTTTTACCACACACACACACACACAATTTTTGCATGTATGTCTCTACAGCAAACACATTCTAGTACCCAGTTTGAAAAATTCTTCCAACCCACTTGCACCAATGCCATATCACGTCTTCATTCCCTTTACTGGTCATGTCCTCCCTTCTCTCCCTATGCAGCTTTTAGTGATGCAGGTGCAAACACCCTCCACTCCATATATGTTTATTGTTAACGCCTTTACTCGGGGCAAGAGCATTTTACCAGTTGGATTACTTCCTGGATCCTGACTTTCTATCTTTTGGTCTGGTAATTTCCTACTGTCTTGCCATCTCTTAGATGCCTTGTCTATGACATTATGTTATGGGCACCATAACATGGGCAGAATTGTGTTATGGGCAGAATTGCGTCCTCCCCACTGCCCTGCCCCCTGCCAAATTCATATGTTGAAACCCTAACCTTCACCTCCAGTACCTGAGAATGTGGCTCTATTTAATCCCATATTTAAGTGATCACATTTATTAATTACTTTAAAGAAGCGATTAAGATAAATGAGTCATTAGGGTATGCTCTAACCCAACCTGACTGGTGTCCTTATAAGAAGAGGAAATTTGCACACAGAGAGACACCAGGGGCCTGCAAGCACACAGAGGAAAGACCATATGAGGACATAGAGTGAAGGCAGCCATTAGTAAGCCAAGGAGTAAGTAGAGCTTCGGGAGAAACCAACTCTGCCGACATAGGCAGGCCTGGTCTGAGGATTGGGGCAGAGGGCAGGGGATGGAGGGGTTCCTGCAGGACCAGCCAAGAGGGTCCTTGGCTTTGCACAGGATAGAAATGAAACTCAAGCCAGGAGGAAGTGATAGCAGACTTTACTGAGTAGCCTAAGTGATAGAGCATAGTAGGCAGAGTATCTGAGAGGCTCGTAAAGGGAGAAGTGAGTCTGCCTGCTGCTGGGGGTAAGCGGTCCAGGGTATGTGTTCTTTTAGGAATCTAGGTCCGATCAAAGGAGTGTCAGGTGGACAATAGCTGTTACTCTATAAGTCACTGAAGATAGGGATTATGGGTGCCAGTGTCAACGGAAGTTTGTTCAAACCTAATGTCCTGAAGCTCGGGATCTGGTTCTTCTTAGATGTTATCAGGTACATGGGGGCCTAGGATGAAACTCAGAGAATGAATAACTTTCTTGCTTCCCCCCTTGGAGTGGGAACATAGCTTCCTTGGTTTACTCAGATGCAAGGTGAAATACAGAACAGAAGTAAATGGGGCCTGGCAGAGAAATAGCAGAGATGAAGCCTGTCTAAAATAGAGTCCATTCAGTTTCCCTAACTCTGCTGAGACCTGGATCCTGGACTTCTAGCCTCCAGACCCGTGAGAAAATAAATTACTGTTGTTTAAGCCACCCAGTCTGTGGTATTTTATTGCGGCAGCCCTAGCAAACTAATGCACTCCTCTAAGAACATTAAAAGTAAATATTCCAGACTTTAGTGTTTCTTGTTTTCTGAGGTGGGTTGATATAAATATCTTAGCTCCACCATTACTAGAAAGAGAAACTCCAGTCATTATCCCATTTTCACACACTGCTTTCCCTTTCCTCATAGCCCTCATCATCATCTGGGGTGCTACCTATTTTGTAAATTTATTACTGTTAAAAAGAAAACCACAGGCTCCAAATGGACCCATTATACCGGGGCTTAATACCTAAGCTAATTGTAGTTCCAACCACCCCCAGAAATGTAGTCTTAACAAGTCAATCAGGAGATTCCTGATCTAGCACAAATGAGCTAGTTTGTCACATGGGCCCTCCCCAACCCCCAAAGGAAAATGAGTTAATCCCCCAGTTAGACCCTGGGCCCTAGTCCCTAAGGTAAGGTGACCTTACCAGGACCAATCCTTTCTTTTCTTTTGCTAATAACTTCCTTGTCCCACCCTCCCTCCTATAAAAACCTATTTTATACAACTACCTAGTGCTCCCTTCCACTTGCCAGATGGGGATGCTACCCCATTCCGTGAATCAATAAAGCGAATTAGATCTTCAACTGTACTGGGTTGAATTTTTGTTGTGTAACGTTATCTATTTAATTCCCCATGCATTAAAATCCAAAAAAGCAGGGACCATTCTGATAACTGCCATATGCTTAGAGCCTGTAACAATGTAGGACGGACGACACGCACTCAAGATACTTGGTGAAGGAATGAATGACTGAATGACAAGGGGTTTCCCCACGGAAGAGTTGGAGGGCCAAGTGGTCTCTCCAGAGGCCGCCTGGCCCCGCGCGCGGTGGGCCGGTTGGCCGCTGCCCCCGGGGTCTGGGCGCCCGCGCGCGCTCCGCCGCTCCAGCGCCGGGTTTTGGGGTGCGCCGGCTTCCCGGGAGGGGGCGGGCACGGGGCGGCCCCTCGTGGGCGGAGTCGGCAGCTGGGCGTGCGGGCCGCCGGAAAGGGCGCGCGCTGGGCGGAGGGGCTGCGCGGCCGCGTGGGGTGGCCGGACCCGGGGCGGGCCCGGCGGCGCGGGGGGCGACCTGAGGCGTGGGCGACGGCGGGGCGCGGCGGGAGGACGGAGGCCCCGGGCGACGCCGGGCTGCGGCCCACGAGGCGGGGCGGCGGGTGGAGCCGGCTGCCGCCGCCGCCGGGCCGGCGTCAGAGCGAGTGCCCGCGAGGTGTATCCTCGCGCGCGTCTGCGGGAAGCGGGGTCAGGACAGCCCTCCCACTGCGGCCCGCGGAGCCCCGCGCCCCGGAGCGCGGCCGAGGAAGGCCGCCTGGGAAGGCGGCGGAGAGATGCGGTGCGGCGGCCGGCCCTAGACAGGCTCCCCGGGGGGACCGGGAAAAGCCCCGCATCCGGGGCGGAGGCCGAGGTCCGCGGGCTCCCGAAGGAAGCCTGCGGGAACGCTGGGCGTGCTTTGGAGAATCGTCGGTGAGCGGGGCATGCGGTCTACGAAGGCGGGGGAAGAACAAAATCCGCTACCGCCCGGTCCTCTGAAGAGACACCCTGTGGCGCCGAAAGCCTCGGGAGCGAGCGCTCTCGCGGCCGCGTCCTTGGTCCCAGCAGCGTCCGGGGCCGAGCTGGTGAGTGGGAGGATGCGCGGGTGTGCAGCCTCCGTCCCGGGAAGGCACGGCCGGGAGCAGTGAGGAGCGGCAGCTTCCAAATGCTGCTTCGAAAGTTTCCCCACTTTGGTAACTAGACGTTTACTTTTATGTATTCCGGGGCAGGATATTTCCACATGCTCCATCCTGCAGGGTGCAGCTCCTTTCTCTGCAGCGGGCACAGCTTGGGGCCCGGTGGGGGGAGCCCGTAAGCTACATACCCTTCCTTGCAAACTTCAAAAAGTTGGGCCAGCTCCCGTTATACGGAGCTCGGTCTACGCGCGGGGCCCCAGTTAACGCTGGACCAGGTGGCTGTGGAGGCACCTGCTCAGATGCGGGGGGCTTTGGATGAGATGATAGATTTGAGTTGTTTCCGGATTTCCCTGTTGCAAACACTTGTGCAGTAGTCCTGATGATACTCGAAGTGCTGTATTTCCTCCATCTGAACCCATCCCCCTCCCCCAGTTTTAACATTTCTGAAACCAAGAGGCATCTTCACAGGCCAAAAGGACTTGCCCGCTGCGGGGCATCTGCGTGGTTGGGGAATGTACCTGTTGCTGTTTGGTCAGGTGAAAATGCAGCTGTGTGATTATTCCATCACTTCTGACACTTGCAATGAACTTTAAATGTAGATCTCTAATTGTTTTTAAAAGTAGCTGGAAAAGATAATGCTGTGGCAAAGCAAAAATTGTATAGCAATATTTATTATCAAGGGTTTTCTGTATCCTTGACATTGTTTCAATTAATATTACAGCCCTATAAAGTACAATTGTTATTCCCATTTTATAGATGAAGAAACTGAAGCTCCAGAGAGTTCGAGTGTCTTAGAGCTTTTAAGTACAAGTGTCGGGATTCTCACCTAAACTGTCTGAATTCAAAGCTTGCCCTCTTAACTCCACTAAATCTGTATCCAGGCAGAAGATGGGTGCAGCTTACTGGGAGGGAAGTCAAGACAGGGTCTATGCTTGTTTTTATACCTTTTTGGCTGTTTATGGATGTGTGTATGGAACTGGGAGACAGCCACATCCAAGAACACTGATTATACTTATTCCCACGTTGATGCCAAATCTTTATTTTCGGATCTTTTGCAGTTTAAAATATATTTCCTCAAGTTCTGGAGTTCTGGATGTGTGGTCAGTGCTTCTGGATCCCTCCTCTTCTGTCTTTTGCTCCTCTAGAAGACTATAGAGGCATGCACTCCAGACTGCTCAACTGGCTGCCTCCCAAGGAGGCACTCCTTAATTTAAGAGAGAAGTCAGTTTTTCAGAGTTGTTAAGGTCACATCAGCCTCTAGGAACCCCCGGGTTCTGGTGCTGCAGGGACACACCAAAGTTCTGGGGGCGGGAGATTGTGGTCAGAGGAGACCGCATACCTGTGAAGCCTCTCAGCAGAGATTCTGGCACTTTCGTCACCAGAAGTGGACACAGCCGGTTGGGTGGGCATCGTCATGCTACAGCAGCTCCTGATCACCCTGCCCACGGAGGCCAGCACCTGGGTGAAGTTGCGCCATCCAAAGAAGGCCAAGGAGGGGGCACCCCTGTGGGAGGATGTAACGAAGATGTTTGAAGGAGGAGGTGAGAGTAGACTGATGAAGGGAAAGCAGAATTCTCAATTCGTGTGTGAAAGGATAGGTACCCATTTCATTGAGGTGTCTCTTGGGGAGAAAATTGGAGGAAAGCAGGTCTCTGGGGTTCGTGCTTGTGGCTTTTGGGACGAGGGTAGCTATGAGGGCAGATGTTGGGCTCTCAGCTCCTTGTGCCATGTGCTCCATGCTGCCCCCATCTCCAGTTCCCGGATAAAGCATGAAACAGGAGGACAATACAGTGTTCCCCACCAGCGGCTCCCAGGTATTGTGATTGTCACAGACAGTGGGGTCAAAGGCTTCTACTCCTTAAAGCCCCCCAAGGTTTTTATTTCATAAGTTTTGGGCATTTTGGCCCGAAGCCAGTGTTTTCCACAAGTAGTTCTGAGAGGAAGGAATGACCTACTTGATGACTCTCGATTTCCAGGAGGTCAGGGGGAAACGTCCAAGATTATACATTATCTGGTGGTCTGGTTGGATAGATAGATAGATGGACAGAGGAATTCGTGTGTCTCACATGATCTCTTAGGTCACACCTTTAACGTTTCAAGTTCAGCCGGTATGTAAGCTAGCGGCATGAGGCAGGGATTTTGCTAAAGCATCTTGACCGATGGAAAAAATGAATAATGGTCTCCAGTGCTTATTATTAATTGATGGAGACAGACACATACCCCGAGCAAAATAATAGAAGGTAGCCTAAGAAAGTGCTATGGTAAATTTCTTTGGGAAGCCAAAAGACTGGAAACATTCTTCTGATTATATTTATTGGAGAAATTTTCACAAAGCAGATAGCACTGAATTGGGCCTTGAAAGAGGTCTTCCATTTTTTTGCAGAAGATTTGGGAAAAGGATACAGAAATGAGTGCCTCGAAGAGTGGTTCAGAGAATGGGAACCAGTCGAGTCTGAGGCCTAAGAACGTGGTCAGTGTATGTGTACAATGGATAAAGGATGGTGGCTAGCGAAAACTAACACTTGGGGAAATGTGTTTCAGGCGAGTTGTAGAGGGCCTGATGTCCATGGGAAAGGTTTGGATTTTCTTTCTTAACCAGAAACATTTGAACAGAGGAGTGGCCTGGTCTGAGCTTTTGGACCAGTGTTGCCCTTTGGGAAGTATTAATGCTCAAAGCAGTGCACTGCAGGCCCTGCTTATTAAGGAGCCCCCCCCCCCCCCCACTCTGCTCTGAGTTGCTCGAAATGTCCCTCTCTGTGAATGTTTTGAGAGAGGAGCCTGTTCAGCAGGTCTGCAGGCAGTTTTCTATTCGGGGGATTTGGGGAGATATAAACCTCATGGCTCTTTTCCTTCTTTAGCTCTGCTCTCTCAGGATGCTGAGGAGACCCAGGGAGAAAGTTTGAAGGCTGAAGTCACCTCTGGGCCTCCAGCAGCAGAATCCCAGGTGGGTTGGGTTTTCCTTTCATTTTCTTGGACCTGCTGCTTGGTTTTCAAGGCTGTAACTTGCCTTTTTTTTTTTTTTTTTTTTTTTTTTGGAGTGAGGAGTTTGGAGGTGTTTGTTAGTGTGGGGCTAACAGATTCAACATAGGGAACTCTGTGCAGGTTGCTCTTGTACAGAAAACTGGGCTGCAGTGGTGGCGATTCCCCTACTCATGGTGGCTTCCCTCTTTGTAACTCTTGTTTGTGGCCAACATCTTGATTTAACATTGTGCTAATTTCTGTAGAGAGAGAGAAATGAATGCTAGAATTCCAGCCCCTAAAAACAAATAGATGCCACTTGGGGTCTCAGATACACGTCAACTTTCTTTTTTGAGTATTTTTATTCAAAAGCAAACTTCGTAAAGTGACAAGAACCTTCTGACATTCTTAGGCGATGTACCCATTTAGCTGGTGGACTTCATGTGGTGACCCTTAGTATAGTATTAGGAGTAGAGATCAAACCAAAGGAGAAGTGAGTGGGGAAGAAATGGTGTGGCCACATAGCACACACACATTAGACAAATGGACAGTTATTACAGGGTGTCCTCACTGTCGACTGGAAGCATAGGGAAGACAGGAGAAAAATTGTAGAATGACTGAGAAAGGAAGACTATTCAAAATGAAATATTATCCGACGGCAGGAGAGTTTTAAGTGAAAAGGACTTGGGTTCTGTAATTAGATGGTACAGGATCTGAAATTATCTCTAAGTATTTACTTTCTTGGTAATGGGGCAGTTTTTTTCAGCTGTTTACAATCCCAGTTTCCTCCGCTGATTCAGATGCTAATATTTTTCTAGGATTGAATGCATTTCAAAGTTATTTACAGTAATAAGGAAGAAGCAGTAAGAATAAGGAGTAATAGTCTATTTAAAGAGTTATCTCTATATTCTACTTATCTGGAATTCCTCATTTCTTGACACGTATCAAAAACTGATGGTATTCTTAGTGCTGGGAAAAGAATTAATTTTTTTTTTTTTTTTTTTTT